CTTTAAATTTAATTCATCTAAAATTTTAATTTTTTTAGATCCAAGGCTATCTCTCAACAAAAGAAAAATATGTTGATTTAATATAATTATATAAATATTCAATATAAAAAGGATTATTATAGTTAAATATGTGATGTCATCACTATCATTTTTAATTTATCAAAAATGCCTTGTCACTTTTTGTTTTATGTATATCATATGCTTGTTGAAAATATATGCATACATACAAGGGGTATAAAGATTTTTTAGGGGCCTAAGGCAATAATGGCCTAATATATTGGCCTCTGTCTTGCCATGGCCCTCCCCTTTTACATGAAATTTTAAAAAACTTGCATAAATATCTTCTAAAAGCAAAAATAAAAAGTGGCCAAAAAATTAAATTAAAAAATCATTGGATTTGACTACGTAACTTAAACTAACTCCTATCAAAATTAAAATTATTCAAATCTTGTTTGAGTTTGGTAGAAATAGAAATTACAGTTCCATCTTATAAGGGACATCTGCAAATTTTGTATTTTTTTTAAAATAGGAATTATATATGATAAATCCAACAAAGAAATATGAAAATATATATCGAATTTTAATAATTCCAGCCCAACTGACACGAATCAAACGAGTGATATATCATTGAAGAATATTAAGTTTGTAAAATAGATAAAATCTATGCAGAATTTACGAAAGTTCGAGAATGAAATTTATATTTCAATCGAAAAAATCTCTTAATTGAAAAATTAAAAATTAAAATATTTTATTAAAATTTTAAAAGCTATAATATTTACATAAAATATATTATTATGAAGCAAATTTATTTTAAATCAATGTGTTTCATAGATGAAAAATATAAGCCTGATCTATTCTTAATAGATTTTATCCGCGATTTAATTGAAGTCTAATAATATACTAAAAAAATTTTAATCAGAAATCAGATTCTGACGAATCTTCTTTCATTGCATGTTGTCCCCCGGTGCCTGAAAAAGTAGTATTTAGCAAAACAATAAAAAAATGACAATAAATTTTTTTTAAAATGTATAAATAATAATTTAATCTCTGAAATGTTATAGTTTTTTTAAAGCCTCTAAAAATTTTTTTGTGATTAATGAATTTATATAAATTATCAAATTACTCTTATTGAAAATAAATGATTCACAAATTTTGTTTAAATATTCATAATTTTTTTTTATATTCACAACAATGCAACGGTAAATAAAAAATCAATATACCAAGTTGTAATTTGCTATTGCATTGTTACGAATTTAAGAAGAAAAGTTGTGAATATTTAAACAAAACTTGTGAATTATTTATTTTTAACAAGAGAAATTTAATAATTTATATAAATTCATTAATGATAGAAAAGTTTTAAAGGACTTCAGAAAAATTATTCCATTTTGTGTGACCAAATTGTTATCTATACATTTCAAAGAGATTTTAGCATCATTTTTCCATGGTTCAAATTGAAATAATTAAGGTCATTATTAGAAAGGAATAAATTGAAAAAATAAAGGTAAAATTGAGATGATTAAAAGAAATAGTGAACTATATTTATAAAGAAGAGAGGTAATTTAATTCATAAGGTTGTGAATCATGAATCATGAAATTTTTGAAGTATATAATAATTTTCATATTTATAATAGATATTAATTAATTTTATCATGCTTATTATAAGGAAGAAGAGTAATTTAGTTCAATTTTGTATTGATTTTTTTTTTCAATCTATTCATTTCTATTAATCAAATGAGACCTAATTCTTTTGGCTCGGCAACATCAATAGATAAAAATAAAAGGAATGGTTGATTAGAAAAATCTTATAGCACATGATGTTAAAATAAAATTTAATCTAAAAGGCACACATGTAAATATAAAACTATGGAGCACTTATATTAATCAAGCCTAAATAGAATTGTCTATTATGAAATTGAAATTTTAAATCTTTTCAATATATTCATCATGGACTGAGTGTGTAGAAACTAAATGATATCTTTAATTTGTTGAAGGATCAAATTATAAGTATTACAAAATAAGGTGATAATTAAATAGGGGTTCTGATGCTTATACGTTGTGTTTCTTCCATCCTTTTTAGAGAATAACAAGTTTTCAACATTTACACTAAAAAATTATAATACCAACATATCATTTGATAGTTCCATGATATATACTTCTAACTATAGTTTCAAATCCACTTATACATTTCGTGTTTCTCATTCATGAGAATCTATCAAAATTACGGATTTAGTTGATATATAGATTCTATGGTTTAACATTAGTTAAAAAAAGTTACCTTTGATATTTCTTAAAAATAACTTTTTTGTCAGTTCTAAAATTAGTGTAGAAACAGCTTGTATAAAAAATAATAATTTTTTACATTGATTATATAATTGGTGTAAAAAAGGGATTTTTTTATTGAATGCACCTAGAACTCTGCAGATTTTTTTTTTTGGTAGCAGAATAGGCTAAAAAGCCCAAAAAACAGAGTTATGGATTTGGTTACAAATAGATTGTATGATTTAATTAAATATGAATGATTGATTGGCAACATCCAATTATATATTCTAACACATATTGTGCTACATATAAAATATAAAAATCATTAAAAAAAAATCTTAACAAGTGGAATCATTCATTAGTTACCAGCATAAATTTTATTTATGAGATCCCTCATAATGAATGGGATCTACAATGAATAGATTAAATAAGCACTAAATAACTTACTTGATTGAAAATATTCCATTTTAGTCTTCACTTGATTCATCATTTCAACTTCAATAACTTTATCCTCAAATCATTGAAATGTTTAAATTATTCTCTTTTAGATTTTCATTCAAAATTTTATACCATGCACATTATATTGAACAAATTCCAAACTTTCATGTAGGAGTGAAAATAAGAAAGTTGAGTTAGACTTTGGCCAAATAGACCTGAACTTGTATGGTAAATCAGACATTTAAACTTAATCCGAAATCTATATAAGACTTTTCTCACAATTCAAGCATAAGCCTACTTAAAATCTAACTTAACTTAAAAACCTACTTAAAAGTAAGCCTTTTAAATAAGCTTGTATTTTAATTTTAAATATCTCAAAATTACATTAGGACTATTATAGTATATATACAATATATAACTTGATTTATTAATTACAATATACAATAATTGAAAAGACTTACTAATTATAATACAATATAATAATAAAATGACAACATGAAAATTAATATGTATGTCCAATATGATTGAAAACATAAGTACAAAAAAAAACAGATTGTATTTGTGATATAAAATGCTATTGTATTTGTGATATATTATATAATGTGTGTATAAATAAGCTGACTTGTTGGGCTTATAAGTTAGTCTTAAAAAAAAAAAAGCTTAACCTATTTAATTAAACAAACCTAATTTAAAGCTTGAACATAACTTGAGCCTATTTATTAAATAAATTAGGTTGGGTTTGAAATAAGTTGGATTGTAAGTCCTTAGAGACTTAACCTATTCCTACCCTTCCTTCCATGTAATAATTGGTTTACCTCTATCTCATTGTTTTTTAAATGACTTGTTATGTTTATTCTCTTGTTAGATATGGGACTAATCAAGCGGTTAAAATATTTTGCGCGCGCGGGAGAGAATCGAAAATGAACATAAAGGAAAAAATAAAACATTGCAAATATTGCGATGATTAATTAATTAAATTAAAAGAAAATAATTTGTTGAATATAATTAATTACTTGACCAAGTCTACTTGAAAAAGTTTCCGAACCAAGAGTCAATGTGTACTATAGAATACAGATAGATGATAGCCTCCTTGGTTCTTTTCCTCGTAAATTCGACACTATTTATTAATTATTACAAGACATGGACCCAAGTCAACCAAAACGAGTTCTGGTTATGTTCTTTGGAATTTACTGCGAAAGTTACAGTGATTTGCTGGGTATGTTCCATTGCTTAAAGTTGCGTTGATATTAATATAAAATTGATAGGGAGATCCCACCCACATGGTAGGTTTCAATGTGGAGGCCACGCATATACAAAAAGGAAGCTGCTTGGGTCCTTCTCTCACCTCATGCTTCGTTCCTTGTTTCACTCAATTCTTGTGGCCGTCCTCTACAATCTTACATGGAGTAAAAGACTTTTTTTTTTTTTGGTTTTGTTTATAAAAATGACTTTACTTTTTATCAAGAGTTTCTTCTTTTACTTCCCATTAAAAAATCACATTTTACAATGAATTCATGATTTTTTGTAAGTCACTTTGCCTTAAAAAAATTATTGTTAATTACTTTCTTCCAATCTTACCCTTTCACAATTTTTCCTGAGTAGAGAGTAATTATAGAAGAAAGAAAATATTTTTAAAAATGATGAATTTAATAAGGGTAAGTTAGAAAATTTCTTTCTTTTTAGATAATATCAATAATTTAACTACCTCTTCTCAATTTTGATAAAATAGTCAAAAATAACTTATAAATAGAATTGGAGAGATTATTAATTTTTTTTACAAAGTTAATAATTTTTAAAATTTTCTTTATATTCCATATGTGATACACCAGCCATGCTTAATTTATAAATCATATAATCATTACATATTCCTTTTTTTTCATTTACAAATCACAACATTACTTAGAAAGAATCCATCTGTAATTCTCCACAAAAGGTGTGGAAAATCAGGTTTCATTTTTGTGCTTGCAAATCTGTCCCAAGCGGTAAATTAAAGCTTCTTTAAGCAAGTATACTGTTGGGAGCGCGTTTAGCTTTTTCAAAAAGTAGCGTCAAATGTAAACTTTTTCAAAAAAAGGCCAAACTATTGAAAGACATTATTCTTCACAATTCTATTTAATTTATTAAAATTTTGTTTAAATGTTTTTTTCCAAAAAAAAATTATACAAGTTTTACTTAGTTTGTTAAAATTAAATAGTTGCCAAAAACCTTACCATTAAAAATTTACAAAAATTATAAATATACATCCATGATGTGTATAGTTGGCTCTTAGAATATATCGAAAGATTAAACCGGTGGTCGCAATTCCTGAGAGAGAGAGACACACACACAAGAAACTATTGAACATAATAGATTGCTACTCGACGATTCTAAGATTGATCCTCTCATTACAACACAACATTGTACATCAAACTGCACCCAACACACTCAGAAATGAACATGTAAGCCAGAATTAAAATCCCTAGCTACAAGCAAAAATCTGGGTGGCCTAATAACATATATGAGATACAATACAACACAAACATTACAAAGCAAACAAAATATGTAATGTTTTGGGATGCAATTTCAAGTGTTTATTGCAGAGCTTAGATATCAATATATTCAGTCACCAACGCTGTCTGATGATGATGAACAAGATCAGAATAATCATAACTACTGTGACTGTAATCATCACCTCATCTTGGCTCCGAACAGAATGCTGCTTTCATCTTTCTGATAAAATCGTCACATTTCTTGTTTAATTCCTCTACCCCATGCTCTTCTTCTTCACATTCATCTTCTTCGTTTTTCTCTGTGACAGTAACTACTTCATCTTCTACCTCTGTGTCATCAATGTCAGCAACTTCGTTTTCTTCCTGAGAATCAGCCACTATCATTCTCTTTTCCTCTTCTTCTTCTACTTCTTCTTGCTCAGGGGAATCAGCTACCATACCATTTTCTGGGGAATTAATAACTGGTAGTGCTGCAACAATATCCAAATACTTGAACTGATGAGAAGAGGAATCGGCATGGACACCAGAGTTCTTGGCCTGAGAATCAGCCACTATAATTCTCTTTTCCTCTTCCTCTTCTACTTCTTCTTCTTGCTCTGGGGAATCAGCTACCATACCATTTTCTAGGGAATTAATAACTGGTGGTGCTGCAACAATATCCAAATCCTTCAACTGATGAGAAGAGGAATCGGCATGGACACCAGAGTTCTTGGCGATGAAAACCATGAGGCCATTGCAGAAGAGGAAGACGTAGTACTTGTTGACGGAAAATTCGTTGAAGAAGGGCCTGAGTGATTGGAACAGTAAGGGAAGCAATGAGAGAAGAAGGGACAAGAGAGAAAGTGAAACCAGAATTTTGATGATTCTGTGAGACACCTTGAAAAAATCCATTGATAGATATAGCTGATTCTATGAAGAAGAGGAGGAGGAAGAAGAAGAAGTCAAGTGTTGCAATGCTCAAAAAGGTGTGTGGAAGGAAAAGCTTTGCGAGCCCGCTTTTATAGACAAGGCATGGGTGTGACCCATTGCCATTGGATTCTAGAACGACAGCGCGTCAAATGAATTTACAGAAGTACCCTTTTTCCTCTAACTTCAGATATTAGATGTTGGAATCAAGAGTACTGAAAATTAGATTCTAATTCAAGAATTAATCATCAAAATCATAATTGAATTATAATTAGATCAGTTGTAAGTAAAATATTTCATTAAATTAATCAATATATTAGTCCAACGATTTACTGGTTCAAGCGACTGAATTAACCCAGCTTTCAATATAATCTTTAAAACAGCTTCTAAACAGTGAATTAGTTAGTTATTAATTAGTTAACTCTTCAAAATTTTACTATCTTGCCACTTTAATTTTTTACAACAAAAAATTCCAATTTTTTTAATTAAAACAGGCTTTTTTATTTCATTTGATGTCATATAAATTATAATTCATGACTAAGTATAAAAATAATAGAGTTAAAAGGTAGAAATATCCTGAAACTTTTTCTCTAGAGACACTTGACATCTTAAACTTTTTTTAGAGCATTTTTATCTCAAAAATTTCAAAAATATAGTATTTTCACCCCACCTTTTAAAATTACAAATATTGACTGTTAAACTGAAATTTGACCAAGAATATTTTCATATTTTTTCCCTCTTTCCTTTTATGTTTAGTCTCCAATTTTATTTTCTAATGAAATCTTTAACTTTTCTCATTTCAATGAATGAAAAATTACTATAGAATATTTTTTCCATTTAACCCAAAATAATATTATTTTATATAATATAATACTAAATATAAAATTCTATTAAATTTTTATAATTATCTACTATAATATATATATATATATATATATAGATCATGTGGTTGTTAAACTCTTGATTGGACTCTCAAAATTTAATGCTTTTATATTTTTAGGTCACAAAATCATGTTAACTTCCTTGTGAACTCGAATTAGACATAAATTTAATTAAACTCATGAGTTTGCTTTTAAGTTTACTGTTTCTATATTTTTAACTTACAAAATTATGTTAATTAATTTATAAATTCAGATCAAATACAAACTTAATTAAACTTGTTAAGCTTATTGATTTTCTACTAAATTGAGCGAGTTACGTATATATTATGTAGAATTCGATTCATAAAAGTGGTAGGACCTAGTTTAAGGGAAAAAAACTTAAAAAGAAAAAAAAATTAATAAAAAATATTAAAAATAAGTTGCCCTATTTTAAAATTTCTATATTATATGATAATCTATCAATATAAATAGATTTAATTTCAATAATTTGTATTTAAATATTTAAATTAAATTATGATGATATTTTATATTTTAATTATTTAATCATATATTATTAATGATTATTTATTAATAGAAGTAAATTTTTATTAGTTTACAATTCAAATTTACATTTTTGTCATGAGTTTATTTAAAAAGAGAATTACAACCAACCCCTTTTTAGAAAAATTAATCACATATAAGGATCAATGAAGACTGGATAATTGTTAAAATACAGAACATGATTTTTTTTTTTAAAATGGGACTTGTTGTAAGTCATTTTGTATAATTAATTTTTTTGAGAAGAGCTGACTATAGTTTTTTTTATTTAAGTTCTTGAATTTAACAACATTAATGTTTATATGAATAAATACTACACACATTTAAGGGAAAAAAACAGTACATGATTGAGACAGACTCCGTCAGAGTCTAACTTGCTGGTCACATCTTTGAAAATGCTTGAGAGACAGAAACCGTGTTAGGTTAGAACTTGCTGGCCATTAAAAAAAAAAAAAATGAGAGTAAGGTTGGAACTTAAGCCAAGCTAGCACATATATTTATTCCTTAGTATATCTTCGCTAAGTGACAAAATCTAGAAATTTCAACTGTAATTTCATCAATCATCAATTTGATCGATATTAATAAAATATACAAGAGTGTTAATATAATTAGCTATTTGTTTTCACCTTCCGGCTGAGAATAGATTGGTGATCTTATTTAACTATTCATCAATTTCTACAAACTTTTCCGCTTTATTAATTTTTAAATATTCAACGGTTTATCAAAATCGTGATATAGATAAATAAATTAAATATATCAAATTGATGTGATCACAATTTATTTATGTATGAAATTAAATATTTATCATTGATTAACCTAACAAGTTTAAAGAGTATCTATTTAGGGTAATGATATTAAAGGACTAATTAAATATTTAATTATACTTTAAGGACCAAAAGGTTTGGAAATATAAAATAAAGACAAAAAAAATATTTCAGTGAATTAGGCTAAAAAAATTTTATTCTTATTATATGATTTGCAATAATCAAAACAATGTTGGCAAAAAAAAAAAAGGCAATAATCAAAACAAGAATTTATGAGGGAAACTCTCTAACATGTAGAAGAAAAACTTGTCAAACATGCCTTAATTTGTAATCATCAAAACAAAAATCTGCAATTAAAATTCATTAATCTGTGAAAAAAATAATTTTCAAGTAATGATATATTTTATAAATTATTTTATTCTTTAAAACTTAGCGAATCTCACTTGTAACATTTTAATTTTTGAATTGCAAACCATGAAATGAGAATAACAAATGTTTATAGGGAGAATTATATACAAGAGTCTCACTCAATACAATTAATTATTATGTTGTCATTTTTCTAAACTCAGTTATTAATAAACTTGAGAGTAATTAATTGTATTTAATGAGACCTTAAAGTAATTCTTTCATTCTTATATCAATTCAGTGAAGGAGACCTTTGATTATTATTTTGAATTTTCAAATTTTTGGTGCTTATTTAATTTAATTTAATTTAATTCATTTCTTGGTCATTTAATCTGATTTCCCCATCTAGTTTCTAAAATTAATTTTTGGCCAATGTTAACCTGACGTGTGAATCAAATCCATTAAGTCACTTAGTAAATAAATGTTGTTGAAATGAAAATGTCAAATTAAATAATTAATGAATAATGGGATTTTACTGACCTCTCCAACCATCTTGAATGTGAATGTGTTCACATAGAGAGGATTTAAAATTAACGTTGGGGTCAGAGAATATGGAAGATGCCCCACGGGATTTTAAATTTTGCTAACTACCAAATTGTCTTATTGAGTAAGATACATGCATATGGGAAGACAAATGGATCCTTTTGCCCATCTGCAATGTTTTCGTTAAATGTTTTTCGAATGCATTAAATTTGGATTTTTAAATTAAATTTAAATATTCTAAATTTTATTAATTAGATAGAACCTATGCGTACTTGTGCTGTTTAATATGAGTTATATTGTTTTAAATTTATATTAATAGAACGACTTCTCTAGTGTGTTATAATTGATTTTATTTTTATTTTTAAAAATTTGATTTGGTTAGATCTGATCAAAATGGTTGAAACTAGGTTAGACCTCACATCCTTGCAAACTTGAGTCCCCCACACCCAAAAAAAAGTCCCAAATATATGTGAAAAGAAAATTATATAACAAATGTGAGATAGAATAAACTCAACATACCTATCTTAAAATTTTAAGTTTGAGTTTTGATAAATATATACAATAGCATTAAATAAAAATGTCAAAGACATTTCTAAAATACTTTTGATACTGTGATTGGTCATAATGGTCCTATATAATAGGGACAGGTCCAAATTAGTCTTAATAGATGATGGTAATGCTCCAAAATACCAAATGGTGAAATAAAAAAAAACATAAACTCAATATCTTAAAGTAAACTATTTAATTTGAGGGAGAAAATTGAAACATATATTAATTGCACTTAATTAAATTGGCTGGTTGATGTATGATCAGTGTGTTGGTTGTTGTGTGATGTATGATGGGGTGTGTTTGTAAAATGCATGTGCACGCATGGGATCCCCTACCCCATGAGGATAGGGCTACCTAGGTTATTAAAAAAAAAGTTAAATTGGTAGTTTTTGCTTGTAATTAAGGCCGAAAAAAAAATGGTAACTTTTTCTCATATATTGCAACAGAAAAGAGTGTGTGTAGATATTTTATTTGTTGGTGTGAGTTTTTTTATTTATATTTTTTAATACGGAATGTCACATATAGAGCGGCCGAAGATTCAAATTACTAACATTCGAAGAATGTTCAGGTAAATATTATTTTGTATTTGTTAAATTTAAAATATTAGCTGAAGTGTGATGAGGAGACTTCTTTCCTGCTTCCAAGCATTTCACCGTTTCTTCCAACATCGAAATCTAAACTTGATGTCTATTCCAAGTAATTAAGTATGATTATAATACCATAATCAGCCATTTAAGTTTTATTGATTAATTAAACACAAGTGCTAATCATGTGTTGTTCCTCATTAGAGTTATTCTACTATTTTCATTCATGCATAACACAACAACCGGCACCTTTTAAAAACTAAAAGCTTCTACATCTGCCAGCTGATGATTAAATTTATTAATCCTAGTTCATCAGTCAAAGTAATTGAATAGTACTTTTTCAGTTTTAAATTACAAGGCATTTTTTTAAAAAAATTCATCTCAAGATATAAGACATTTTGAGTAAATTAATATTTAATTAAATACACTAATTTTAATATTATTCTTTTTTTCTTTATAATTAATTGTTGTCTCTTCTCTTTTTAATATATTAAATGATGGGTGTTTTTGAAAGTTTATATTTTTATTTTAAAAAGATAAGGTTGTTAAGTGTATTTAATGAGATTTATTGATATGTAAGATTTTATCTAAAAGTGTCTTATAATTTGGGACAGAGAAAGTACTTATTTTTATGGCTAAAAATGTTTTTTTATATACATTATTTCATATTTATAAAGTATTTCATATTCATAAATATTAAAAAATATTATTTCATTATTAAATTTATTAAAAAAATCCAAATATTTCAAATATATTTTTATATGTGATCAAAAAACAATTTTATCATTATTAATGAAAGAAATGTAAATCTTCACACTCACAATTTACGAGATCACCTACTAAA